CCTTCTTTATGTAACGAACCGAAGATTAATTTATTCCGTAATGCGCTACAGTCGCATAACTTCCTTCAGCGTGTCCAGAAGTCCAACTTTTTGTGCGATGGTTTGCATCTTCCTCTGCCTTTTGGGTGCGACCGCAGGAGCCTTTGTCGGTGCAGAACGTTTCGTCGGGGAAAAAACTCGCAAACATACAGCACTTCAAAATCACATTGCTAGAGATCGAACATTTATGTAGATTTGTCAAGCTGAACGCATCTGTACTGTACAGGAGACACGGCTCAGAGGAGAGTTGATTGACAATGGTCTACAGTCACTTAGCCAATCAGAAAGCAGGGGTATGATATTTAAAAAAAAAAAAAAAAGCATACAAAATTGCACAAAAAAAAAACCCCCACGAAACTGAGGGGAAAGATGAAGGACGACTGTAAACAAAATGTAAATAGTAGTAAAAATAAAGAAAAATAAAACACTGAATGAGATGGTGCCCAAACATTTGACTGGTGTTGTAATAATTATAATAGTTTTAATAATTATAATAGAGAGGGCAGGGGGAAAAAAAAGGAAATGCCTTTAAAATTATGCTTTAACCCTCTCCAGGCAGGCGTTGTAGATTTGCAACAGCTAAATGCCAATTACCTACTTACGCCAAATCCATATTATATGAGCTTTTTTTTACTCAGGAGCCTTTTTTCCCATCCATGCTGATAAACGTGGACGATGCAAACTGTGCAAGAATGACTCCAAACAAACGGCCTGCCAGAAGTGCAAAGTACTTTTGTTGTTTACAAAGGATAAAAATTGTTTCTTGGAGCACCACACGAAACAGTGATGTAGTTCTGCCACTGTAAAGCTGTTACACTGTGTTTTATGTTTTCATTGTTGTGAAAAGTGGTTTACACATAAAGTTTGCGTTCATATCATTTTCAGTCTTCAGTGTTAATTTACCACACCGGACCAATGCTGCAAATCTGTAACATCCCAGAACGCACTGGATGTGAAGGTCTCTCTCAAAAAAAATGTCAAGATTGTATATTTGTACCCCATATGATCATTTTCCCCAAATATCAGATTTTTTCCTATTACTAAAATTCAATTTGAGCCTGAGAGGGTTAAGACTGTAATAAAGAGTAAAAGATGATGAAAGGAAAGGATGTGCAAGTATAGTGACTAAAAATGTTTATTAGAAAATGGGGAAAAACAAAAAAGAAGAGAGAGAAAAGGAATTTAAATTATAAATTGGCCAAAATATGAATATACTTGGGCCTAGCAGTTTGATTATGCTGCAATACCACGTTACTTTTGTTTTATTTAACTAAATTTGTGTCGGTGTGTGTTTTGTATTTGTTGTGGGTGTTGCTCTATGTTTTTGTGTTTTGTTTTTATGTTGATTATTGTATTTTGTTAAATGTTATATTCTGTTGTCTTTAAAAAAAAAAAAAAAAAAAAGACATTTGACTGGTGGTGTATTGTGGCGTACTTTCTCATCACTGCGGTCCATTCACATATTCGTGTACACAAACTCTAAACTGCTTCAGGTCGATGGACGGACAATGCACCAAATGGGCATCTGAACCACGTCAGAAAACAAGAACCAAAAGCTCCTAAAATGTAGACAGTTTTGAATATTGTTGTTGCTTTTCTTTTCATCGTAGGTCTGTTGGTATCAGTCATTCTGTTGTGTTTCTTTGTGGATTTGAGCAAGCCCACAGACACATGGCTCCCAGTGATATGCCTGTCCTGACAGCCCATATTCTCTGCTCTGAGGCCAAAGCTCCGTGTTTTAGAAAAAAACACCAAAGTCTGAGCAGAAACAACACAGGCTTTCATGCAGAATGGAGGCTGGAGCTAGAGACACCTGAGCTTGCCAAAAGAGAGAGGGGGGGAAACGGGTAGAAAGGGTCTGTCTGACGAACTGAGATTTCGACACATGGCTGGTGTAGTACCAATAGTCCAATGGGTAAAATATTTGTCTAGAAACTGAGGGGTACCTGATTCAAATATTGGTTTGAATATTATTTGAGTCGTTTGCCCATTTTAGGCAAAGAGAGTAGTAGAGCCCGACCGATATATCGGTTGGCCGATATTATCGGCTGATATGGGCTCCTGGGGATATATATCGGCTATCGGCTGATATGTTTGCTGATATGGGCCGACGTGGGCATGTTACACCTCGTTATAAAGCTTAGACTCTCTACATTATGTTCATTTAATCCAATTTACAGACAGATAAATGTCCTAATATGTGGCTCTGCATCAGTATTTATCTGCGGAGTCATTTGTCTGTGTCTGTGTCCGTACTGTCCCTGAACACACCACAGAGTCACGTCACTTCACTCACGTGTGTTTGTTTACACCCGCAGCCGTGCGCAACACTGAGATCATATTCATTTTACAGACAATCGGTTTGAGTCTGGATTAAAAGGACATTTATTAGTTCAGACTTGTGATGTGAGGAGGAGCCTGTGTGAGCATTGAGTGTTGGAAATACATGGACTTTGAAGCTAGTTTTGGTTATTTGTTATTAGCGATTAGCTGCTGTAGCTCCCGCACATAAACAGGCTGTTTTCTATTGGTCTATTGTAAAGTGACTATATTGGCCGTATATTTGTTACTGGACCAGCATTGATATGTAAATGAGCTGTGAATAGACGTGTGAATGATCCACATTTGCACATATAATTCATTACCGCGGCGCACAGCATTTACGGCTAAAGACTAATAGCGGTAGCTTACTTTAGTAGCTAGTAGTGATGGGACGGTTGCGAACGAAACGGCTCTTTGAAGCGAACAACGGGAGCCTGCTTCGTATTGGGAGTCTTGTTTTCTCTTTCTCTCACTTTTTTCTCTTCACGCCACATGCAGACTCGTGGCAGTTTGACAGCGACAGCGGCTCAAAACGAAACTTTCAGAAATCTGTGTGTGCATAGGATAGAAAAAAAGTGCATATTTGGCTGTAGTTCAGCATAAAATAAATAAACCAGGACTAATCTTGGGCTCGAGAGAGAGCTAGAGACCGAGTCCCGACACTCAGTCCTGGTTCAGTTCTGGTTTAGTCCTGTTTTACACATGGTTTAGATCTGTTTTAGTAATGGTTTAGTCCTTTTTCAGTCCTGGTTTAGACCTGCTTTAGTCCTGCTGCCCATCACTAGTAGCTAGAATGTGATCTACTGTCTATAAATATGACAAAAAAGAGGCAGAAGAACAATAAATGTTGCTTAAATAAACCCAATTTAAAAGTTTTTTATACAACTCAAGATTTACAGTGAATTTTTACATCACTAAATATATCGGCGATTATATCGGCTATCGGCAGCTCCAACTCCCATTATATCGGTTTCATATCAGCCATAACAAAATCCATATTGGTCGGGCTCGAGAGAGTAGGACTGCATTTGTTTACTGGGAATATCCTGCTTTGTGTCGGTGTCATAAAGAAGTTTCAGTGTTTCATTGTGATATTTCTTTGTAGCAATATCATTCATCAAAATGTGTTATTGTGACAGGTCTAGTCTGAGTTTACTAAACAGTGCTCCAAAACCTGTCAGACAACTCTTGTCCGAGAACCAGTGACATAAAGGTACAGGGACATAAGACAAACTGTGTGCATAAGCCTCTTTTATAATGACACTGCTTTGTTCAAGAAGAGGAATCCATTTTACAGCCAGGGAAATAGAATGCAAATCCACTCACAGGTTAGACCAGACATGTCAGGTCCCAGAGGCCAAATTTGGCCCGCAACATAATTATATTTGGCCCGCAAGATCATATCAAATATGTATTAGAGCTGGTCCATCGGCTACAGATAGACTATAGAGTAGAGGTGTAACAATAGCCAAGTCTCATATCAACCTTACGGTACAATATTTATTGTGATATCATGGGAAAGCTCACGATATGGTGCGGAGGCTCACGATCAGGGATGTAACAATATCCAAATCTCTCTGTATGATGTTTTCACGATATACATCTCACTGTACGATATTTACTGCGACATTTTGTGGAGGCGAATAACTGTTAATATGCAACTTTTTCCTCTTAAAATGCCTTGACAAGACTTAATCCAAAGAACTAAGACTTAAAAGTAATTAGAACTGTTATTTCTTCTTGTAGTCTGCACTGAAATGGAGCAAAGGATCATGGTCTATGTAGTTCCCTCTGTCTTTTTTTTTTTTTAGCTGTTGCTGCTCCATAACTCTTAATTTAAGCAAAGACACTTGTAATTCGATATATTGTGATGGTCCACGATATTATTGTGAGAACTTTGACAATACGATATCACAATATTTCAATTATCCCTACTATAGAGACATTATTTATTATTATTATTATTTTATATTATGCTTGTTCTGGATTCAGTGTTTAAGCAAAACTATTAAACATTAATTTTAATATGAAAGGTTTAACATTACATATCTCAAAAGAAGAGAAAACATAGATATTGTTGAAATTTTTCATTAAATATTTAGTTTGGCCTACAACTTAGTCCCAGTTTTTAATTTTGGCTCTCTGTGAATTTGGGTTTGACACCCCTGGGTTAGAGACCATTGAAACTTCAGCTTAAAACTTGAATTCAAATGGGCTAAAGACACAGACACGTACCAGGGGATGTGGATCTGGTTCTCACAGATTATGCAGTTATGCAAGTCCTTTATGGATTATTCAGCATTTTTGTTGCCATGTATCGTTTACTTGGGTTTGAACACTGATAGAAATGTTCAGGTTCAAGATTTGTCAATTTACCTTTTGGATATTTCATGGTTAAGCACAATGTAATCAATAAGAAAAACTGACTCTTGCACCACATCTGGGTGTATGGCTTCATCACATTGTAAAATAAAACTACCAATGGGTTGAAATCATTTAGAGAAGTCTGTATTTCTTGCTTTATTGTGCTTATTCTTAACCAGCTGATCCAGTGGCCTCACAGGGACAATACAGAGTACTTGCCCTGAAGTGAACCAGGAAGTGATATGGGGGTGGAGCAACAGCAGCAGTTCACAAGAAATGAAACTTGCAACAGAGAGAAGGCAGAGCTGTGTGGAGTACGGTGCAGAAAGAGGAATCTAACATCAGCCTTTCCATATCTATAACTATAAAGTATCAGGTGAGTACAATGACAACATGTATTTTGTATTTGATAATGCCATAAACATACTTTCATCATTTTTAGGTTATTTGTATCTTATTTGTACTTTTTGTACAATTTTTAAAGAAAGTAAACAGATCCATGAGATGCAGTCTGGTTGTGTCAAGAGGATTTGTCATTATCATGTTTACAACACCATGGTTAAAGCTTGTAGCTGTCTTAAGGGGCGTTCACACCAAAGCGTCAGAAAACGCCTTGACGCCTCTATTTTGGAGCCTTTTCATTTGAGTTTAGACGCCCCCGACGCGCGTGGACGAACGGGACAAAAATACTTGACGCGCGTCCGTTGCCCTGGAAACAAGAGCCCGGTCCCGGTCTTTTCCCGAAACAATGTCAGACCAGACTGAGAGAGTGTTTTTATGACAAAACATCAGCGGAGGAGATCGGGTCGACGACTGGGGCGTATATATATTTATACTCCACTAATGACACTGGATCAGTCCAGGTCTAGTCCTGATCTAATCACGGTCTAGTCCCGGTCTAGTCTCGGTCTAGTCCCGGTCTAGTCCTTGTTTAGTCCCGGTCTAGTCCTTGTTTAGTCCCGGTCGAGTCCTGGTTTAGTCCTGGTCCGGTCCTGGTGTAGTCCTCGCGATCGGCTCGGTGATTGTGTCGTATATATTTATGCTCCGCTCATGTTTGTGGTTCTGGTTCTCGGGTCTTGCTTCCTGATAATAACGTCGCTGCGTCACTGGATACTCGTCCCTGAGTGGTTGACGCGGCGCGTCTGACGCGAAAAGTTCAGCATTTTCAACTTCTTGACGCTGACGCCTTGGACGCGCGTCTTGGCCGCTGACGCCAAAACGCTCAAAACGCGCCGCGTCGACGACAGATTCGCGCCGCGCTGACGCCGAAAACGCGCCGCAAAAACACAGGACGCTCTAGTCGCGCGTCCACATAGACTTTACATAGAAAGTGGACGCTTTGACGCCTTGGAGTGAACGGGCCTTTAGTCTTCATTGTGTGTCCAAATTTGATCTTTGTGTTTTATGCATAGACTGTATAAAGAAGTGGACTGGGTGGGGTCACCCATAGCATTTGACACTAAATAAATGAAGCTCATAGTTCCAAACCTTCAAACATGTTCTCTCTCCTGTTGTAGTGATGGCCGCTGTGAGCTGTACTCTCTCTGAGGAGCAGTTCCTGTGCTCCATCTGTCTGGAGGTCTTCACTGATCCAGTCACTACACCGTGTGGACACAGCTTCTGCAGAGTCTGTATCAACAAACACTGGGACAGCAGCGACCAATACAACTGTCCAGTCTGTAAACAGGACTTCAGCTCAAGACCTTCCTTAAAAATCAACATTGTTCTGGCTGAGATGGTTTTTGAATTCAAGAATAAACCTGGAGGCGAAGATATTCAGGTTGAAACAATGAATTCAGAGCTCCAGTCCTCTGCTCCAGCAGAGGTGTGCAGTGAGGTGGAGGTTCCTCCAGCAGAGGTGAGCTGTGACGTGTGCCCAGAGCCCAGACTCAGAGCCCTGAAGTCCTGCCTGGTGTGTCTGGCCTCGTACTGTCAGATCCACCTGCAGCCCCACCTCACAAACCCCCGTCTGAAGAGGCACCAGCTGATCCAACCTCTGCCCAACCTGGAGGAGCGCATCTGCCCTGAGCACGACCGACCTCTGGAGCTCTTCTGTAGGGAACACTCACACTTCATATGTCTGCACTGTATGTCTGAAGGACACAAAGACCATCAGACAATCCCCCTGAAGGAGGAGGGTGAGGAGCACCAGGCCACGCTGAAGAATCAGATTAAAGAAAGACGTCAGAAAATCGAGGAGATCCAGCGCTCAGTGGAGCTCAGTCAGAGAAACGCAGACACAGAAATACAAGAAGGTCTCAGAGTCTACAACGCTTTGATGGAGTGTGTTCAACAAAGTCTGGACAAGTTCAAACAGAACATTGTAGAGAAGCACAAGAAGAACGAGGAGGAGGCAGCTCAGCTGATAGAGCAGATCCAGACAGAGATCTCTGCGCTGGAGCAGAGAGGAGCTGAGATGGAGCAGCTCTGGAGCTCTGGAGACCACCTGCACTTTGTACAAACCTTCACTTCAGTCAAACCTGCTCCACAGCTCAATGACTGGACCGAGAGAAATATCTGTTCAACATACAGTAGAATGTTAGCTGAAGCTCTCACCGAACTTCAGGATAATGAGCTTAAAGAGGAGATTCATAAAGTTTTTAAGGCTGAACTTAAAAAACTACAGGACCAGTATGCTGTGAAGGTCACTCTAGATCATAATACAGCTCACCCAAACATTAATGTGGAATATTATTCAACTAAAGCACAGTATACAATTAAGGAAAACAATTGGACATTCTCCACTACAAGATTTACTTCAAAGGTCTTTGTTTTAGGACGACAAGCATTCTCTTCAGGCAAGTTCTACTTTGAAGTCGCTGTGAAAGGATCAAGACAATGGGCAGTGGGAGTGGCAAAAAAGTCAGTACATAGAACAGGTAACATAAGAACACAACCGTATTATGGGTTCTACTTATTAGAATGGGACAGTGAAAAGTCAAATCGATGTCAAGTCGGTGGTTGTTATGTGAATCTGAGTCATATGCCAATGGTCATTGGAGTGTATGTGGATTATGAGGAGGGCCTGGTCTCATTCTTTGATGTATATACTGCTGTTCTCATCAGCTCTATAACTAACTGCTCTTTTACTGAGGACCTGCTCCCATTGGTGAGCCCTGGTAATGGTGGTGGTGCCATGCAAGTGCAATAAGGTGTTTGTTGTTTGACCTGAGACTTGTTCTATTTAGAAAGACGACGATGAGCAGCAGTTGTATCACATTAAGACAACATAGTGTCAATTCTCTGTAACTGTCAGTAACTGTCATTGTGCACACAACACAGATTATCATGAAAGTTTGATTTGATTTGAAACTGACTCTGCAGATGCTACAATCACTAATAATCACTAATAATCACTAATAATCACAGAACAATTATTTGTGAATGCATTGTTGTGTATTGACGCGAGCTAAAGCCTGGCTTATTTGGACAATTCAGACTCATAAAATCCTCAGTTTGAATTAAGTCTATATTTTCTGGCCTTCCTGGATTCACCGGGAAAGGCACAGAGCGCAACAGAAAAATATCCCTCTATATTTGCTTATGCCAACATAGCTTCCAGAACATTCTCTTCTTTGCATGTTACAAATATAGGTCAAATTAAATGTAAATAAATATAAAATTGAAAATAACAACGACTTTGTGGTCTTTATTTCTTGACAATGTTTTTCTTCCCTCTCGCAAAAATCGTAACAACCAAAGGAGAGGAGGGGGAAACGGGTAGAAAGGGTCTGTCTGACGAACTGAGATTTCGACACATGGCTGGTGTAGTACCAATAGTCCAATGGGTAAAATATTTGTCTAGAAACTGAGGGGTACCTGATTCAAATATTGGTTTGAATATTATTTGAGTCGTTTGCCCAATTTAGCAAAGAGTGTAGGACTGCATGTGTTTACTGGGATTATCCTGCTTTGTGTCAGTGTTTTAAAGAAGTTTCAATATTATCTTTTATTGTGATATTTCTTTGTAGCAATATATCGTTCACCAAAATGTGTTATTGTGACAGGTCTAGTTTGAGTTTACTAAACAGTGCTCCAAAACCTGTCAGACAACTCTTGTCCGAGAACCAGTGACATAAAGGTACAGGGACATAAGACAAACTGTGTGCATAAGCCTCTTTTATAATGACACTGCTTTGTTCAAGAAGAGGAATCCATTTTACAGCCAGGGAAATAGAATGCAAATCCACTCTCAGGTTAGACCAGACATGTCAGACTCAGGTCCGGAGGCCAAATTTGGCCCACAACATAATTATATTTGGCCCGTGAGATCATTTCAAATATGTATTAGAGCTGGTCCATAGGCTACAGATAGACTATAGAGTAGAGGTGTAACAATATCAAGTCTCATATCAACCTCACGGTATGATATTTATTGTGATATCATGGGAAAGCTCACGATATGGTGCGGAGGCTCACGATCAGGGATGTAACAATAACCAAATCTCTCAGTATGTTTTCACAATATACATCTCACTGTACGATATTTATTGCGATATTTTGTGGAGGCGAACAACTGTTAATACAAACTTTTTCCTCTTAAAATGCCTTGACAAGACTTAATCCAAAGAACTAAGACTTAAAATTGATAAGAACTGTTATTTCTTCATGTAGTCTGCACTGAAATGGAGCAAAGGATCATGGTCTATGTAGTTCCCTGTAGTCTTTTTTTTTTTTTTAGCTATTGCTGCTTTATAACTCTTAATTTAAGCAAAGACACTTGTAATTCGATATATTGTGATGGTCCACGATATTATTGTGAGAACTTTGACAATACGATATCACAATATTTCGATTATCCCTACTATAGAGACATTATTTATTATTATTATTATTTTATATTATGCTTGTTCTGGATTCAATGTTTAAGCAAAACTGTTAAACATGAATTTTAATAAAAAAGGTTTAACATTACATATCTCAAAAGAAGAGAAAACATAGATATTGTTGAAAATTTTTCATTAAATATTTAGTTTGGCCTACAACTTAGTCCCAGTTTTTAATTTTGGCTCTCTGTGAATTTGGGTTTGACACCCCTGGGTTAGAGACCATTGAAACTTCAGCTTAAAACTTGAATTCACATGGACTAAAGACACAGACACGAACCACGGAAGGTGGATCGGATACAGATACACAGTTATGCAAGTCCTTTATGGATTATTCAGCATTTTTGTTGCCATGTATCGTTTATTTGGGTTTGAACACTGATAGAAATGTTCAGGTTCAAGATTTGTGAATTTACCTTTTGGATATTTCATGGTTAAGCACAATGTAATCAATAAGAAAAACTGACTCTTGCACCACATCTGGGTGTATGGCTTCATCACATTGTAAAATAAAACTACCAATGGGTTGAAATCATTTAGAGAAGTCTGTATTTCTTGCTTTATTGTGCTTATTTTTAACCAGCTGATCCAGTGGCCTCACAGGGACAATACAGAGTACTTGCCCTGAAGTGAACCAGGAAGTGATATGGGGGTGGAGCAACAGCAGCAGTTCACAAGAAATGAAACTTGCAACAGAGAGAAGGCAGAGCTGTGTGGAGTACGGTGCAGAAAGAGGAATCTAACATCAGCCTTTCCATATCTATAACTATAAAGTATCAGGTGAGTACAATGACAACATGTATTTTGTATTTGATAATGCCATAAACATACTTTCATCATTTTTAGGTTATTTGTATCTTATTTGTATTTTTTGTACAATTTTTAAAGAAAGTAAACAGATCCATGAGATACAGCCTGGGTGTGTCAAGAGTCATTATCATGTTTACAACACCATGGTTAAAGCTTGTAGCTGTCTTAGTCTTCATTGTGTGTCCATATTTGATCTTTGTGTTTTATACATAGACTGTATAAAGAAGTGGACTGGGTGGGGTCGTCCATAGCATTTGACACTAAATAAATGAAGCTCATAGTTCCAAACCTTCAAACATGTTCTCTCTCCTGTTGTAGTGGTGGCCGCTGTGAGCTGTACTCTCTCTGAGGAGCAGTTCCTGTGCTCCATCTGTCTGGAGGTCTTCACTGATCCAGTCACTACACCGTGTGGACACAGCTTCTGCAGAGTCTGTATCAACAAACACTGGGACAACAGCGACCGATACAACTGCCCAGTCTGTAAACAGGACTTCAGCTCAAGACCTTCCTTAAAAATCAACATTGTTATGGCTGAAATGGTTTTTGAATTAAAAAATAAACCTGGAGGCGAAGATATTCAGGTTGAAACAATGAGTTCAGAGTTCCAGTCCTCTGCTCCAGCAGAGGTGAGCTGTGAGGTGGAGGTTCCTCCAGCAGAGGTGAGCTGTGACGTGTGCCCAGAGCCCAGACTCACAGCCCTGAAGTCCTGCCTGGTGTGTCTGGCCTCGTACTGTCAGATCCACCTGCAGCCCCACCTCACAAACCCCCGTCTGAAGAGGCACCAGCTGATCCAACCTCTGCCCAACCTGGAGGAGCGCATCTGCCCTGAGCACGACCGACCTCTGGAGCTCTTCTGTAGGGAACACTCACACTTCATATGTCTGCTCTGTATGTCTGAAGACCACAAAGACCATCAGACAGTCCCCCTGAAGGAGGAGGGTGAGGAGCACCAGGCCACGCTGAAGAATCAGATTAAAGAAAGACGTCAGAAAATCGAGGAGATCCGGCGCTCAGTGGAGCTCAGTCAGAGAAACGCAGACACAGAAATACAAGAAGGTCTCAGAGTCTACAACGCTTTGATGGAGTGTGTTCAACAAAGTCTGGACAAGTTCAAACAGAACATTGTAGAGAAGCACAAGAAGAACGAGGAGGAGGCAGCTCAGCTGATAGAGCAGATCCAGACAGAGATCTCTGTGCTGGAGCAGAGAGGAGCTGAGATGGAGCAGCTCTGGAGCTCTGGAGACCACCTGCACTTTGTACAAACCTTCACTTCAGTCAAACCTGCTCCACAGCTCAATGACTGGACCAAAAGAAATATCTGTTCAACATACGGTAGAATGTTAGCTGAAGAGTTTTCTGAACTGAAAAAACAGCTTAATAAGGAGATTCCTGAGGTCTTTGTGGCTCAATTTAAAAGAATGCAGAAACAATATGCTGTAGATGTCACTCTAGATAAGGATACAGCTCATCCAAACATTATTGTGGGAGGGTCTTCAACTTACGCACAGTATACAGCTAATAGTAACAACTGTACATGCAACTCTAAAAGATTTACTTCAAAGGTCTTTGTTTTAGGACAACAAGCATTCTCTTCAGACAAGTTTTACTTTGAAGTCACTGTGAAAGGATCACAACAATGGGCAGTGGGAGTGGCCAAAAAGTCAGTAAGTAGAGGGATTTACAGTGATGCAAGACCGTAATCATGGGTTCTACTTATTACAATGGGACAGTGAAGTGTCTAACACATGTAGAGTCGGTGATTCTTATGTGAATCTGAGAGATATGCCAACAAAAATTGGAGTATATGTGGATTATGAGGAGGGTCTAGTCTCTTTCTTTAATGTAAATAGTGTTGTTCTCATCAGCTCTATAACTAACTGCTCTTTTACTGAAGACCTGCTGCCATTGGTGAGCCCTGGTAAACGCCGTGGTGGTGGCGTAGAAATTACACAAGTACAGGAGCAACAACAAACAATTTTTTTTTGGTTTGGTTATTAGACATGAGACCTGCTTTATTTAGGAGAATGTGGCAATAGTATTACATTAAGACAACATAGTGTCAGTTCTCTGTAACTGTCAGTATCTGTCAATGTTCAACCACAGATTTTCATGAAAGTTTGATTTGACTTATTTAGAAGTTTTTTTAACCATGTTTTATATTTTTCTTTGTTATTGTAATATAATGTGATGTGTGATGATGTGTGAGCTACGGTGTCCAAGTATTTTCCCTTCCGGATCAATAAAGTCTAAATCTAAGTCTAAAGCCTGACATATCTGGGCAGTTCAGACTCATCAAATCCACAGTTTCATTCCATGAAAGTGGCGAACCAGAGTTGTATTAATTTTAATTAATAAAAATGTTTTAACATGAATTAAGTCTATATTTTCTGTGGCTGTTGATCTGGCTTTCCTGGATTCACCGGGAAAGGCACAGAGCACAACAGAAAAATATCCCTCTATATTTGTTTGCGTTGACATAGCTTCCAGAATATTCTTTACATGTTACAAATATAGGTCAAATTAAATGTAAATAAATATAAAATTGAAAATAACAACGACTTTGTGGTCTTTATTTCATGTTTTTCTTCCCTCTCGCAAAAATCGTAACAACCAAAGGAGCAACATTTCTCTGGGGAGAAACACTAACACGCTAACATTCTTTCGCAAAGGTGCACTGTGTAACTTTTCCAGTGGAGGGTGTGACATCTGCTTGTCTCCATGGAGATTACTGCTGCTTTGTCTTGAATGTCCCGGTATAGCATTAAACGCATCCATCTTGCATTCACTCTGTAACACGCATTTTGACTTCAGTGGGCTCGCCTCTCCACATGACAGGACATGTAACCTGGCCCTGTGTCATCACCTGCTGTCTCCATAGAAATTAATAAGTGCAGTGATTTATTGTGGAACATTCCAGGCAACATCTCCATGGAGAGAAGCGGTGACAGACACTCTACAAAAGCTTGCACAGTGCACCTTTATATTTACAGTCTCTACCATTCTGTTGTTGGATAAATAGTCTAGTATTGCGTTTGAATTTGACCCCATGCCAGTGCACCTTGAAGAATACGTATTTATCTTGGTATAATGTTTAACAAAGACAAATTAAGCCCTTGAACGTTGCAAACAGCTGTGACCAGGATCAATGCAGCCTATTAAACCCTGTGTTCCGTCTGGAAATATACAGTTCTTCATTAGAGAGTGTAGTTGACCTGTGATAGGGTCAAAGCACTCGTACAGAAGGGACTGATGGGAAATTGTGTTTAAAGAGGTGTTACACTCTGCTGTTTTTCTCTCCGCTCAGTACAATACAGGTTAATCCACGTATTAGGCAAATAGTGTTGTCACGATACTAAAAAAATTCTAACTATTTTGATACTAAGGAAAATACTCAACATTTATTTTCAACATTAAGTCGTAGTACTTTCTTTTAAATTTCATTCTAAAGCTCAGTTAAGGTTCATTTCTGTCCTGTGAATGTGACTTTTTTAGTATTGATACCTGCTCAAATGAGTATCTAATTTAAATACAAGTTTTAGTATCGATTAGTGTCTGATTTTCAATAATTTGGGCTGTCCATATTCAAGAGCATTTATTTGATTGTGATGAGAGGAAAAGATATGCATTTGAGAGACATTTGGGAAATCATGCTTATCTTATTTGTTCAAATACCATGAAAAAATAACACAATTCAAGATTTATAGAATCATTTTAACCTATGCTAGAAATACTTTTTGCAGATTAAAGGACCAATATTACACTATTTTCTGATCTACCATATTTTCCGGACTATAAGTCACTCCGGAGTATAAGTCGCACCAGCCAAAAAATGCGCAATGAAGAAGAAAAAAACATATACAAGTCACACCGGACTATACATCGCACTTCTTGGGGAAATGTATTTCAGAGACATTTCACCATTGCAAACAGACAGATGAACAGGCGTTAATGGTAAAGGAAGAGCGCCCCTTCCTCTTCTGTGTAGCTGCTGTCAGACTCAGCATCAGTTCCAGTTAGAATTATTCTGGCTTTTCTGAATCTTGACAGGATGGTTTCAGTTGTCACTGAAGTTCAGGCTTTGTCGATCCAATCAGTGACTTCCAGGAAAGTTGCATGGTGCACCCTCCCAGTTACAGTGAAGCTGTGTTCTGACCAGTCCCGCTTTCCGCTAGTCCCTCACAAGTTTCTCGCTCATTCCAAACTTTCTTTCTGCTGCTTGATTACCATTTTCGGCTGAATATTTCACTATTTGCAGCAAGACAGCAGCTTTTTCTACAGGAGACATGCGCAGTAGAGTGAAGTGACAGTGGTACAGGAGTAATAGTAGTACTAGATACTGAAACACAAGCCTAGAGCCTCTCGCGGCTGTCAGTCTGAAAACTTTAATATACATATAAATATAAGTCACACTGGAGTATAAGTCACAGGACCACCAAACAATGAAAAAAGTGCGACTTATAGTCCGAAAAATACGGTAAGTTATAATGTTGTTTCCTCATCACAAACAGACCTGGAGCTGTGTTGTTTCATTCACATGTGTAAAGCACAAACCCTGCATATTTAGGTGTTTTTCTCTCAAACTGAAAACCCTGTCCCACCTTGTGATGTCATGTAGTAATTAGGGCCGGGCACGTTAACGCGTTAACTTTGCGTTAACTAATTAAGTCATTAACCCCATCAATTATTTTAACGCCGTTAATGCAGTTTTTATTATTTATTTATTTATTTATTGTAAACATCTGTTTCTCACTGGCTTTTATTTTGAAAAAGTCCACCACGAGCGTTTCTTTAAGTTTGACGTCTTTCTTTACACTTTCTTACACTTTTTTCTGACCACGTGAGCAACGTGCCCAAGCCTCCGCGAGCCGCGGGCCCGGCCGTGGGTTCAGCCGCAGGCTCCGGCTCCGGCCGGACCAGCCGTGCGCTCTGAGCTGAGCTTATTTCTTTAGTTCAGTGCTGGAGTCACTGATTTACCCAGATGCCATTGGAAGAAAAAATGTGATTGGTCCATTTCCATTCCATTATATTAACCCTTTGTTCCTAAGAAATATCAGTCCAAGTTTATAACACTGATCTAGAAATTATTACTAGTGTATTGTTCATTACTCACAGCATAAAAAATATTCAATAAATATATTAGTAGTACAAACGTCCATTCAGTATTTTTTCTTGAGCCTTCACTGAACACCTTGTAGACTCTGAGGTTCCCCCGTGAAAGAAATGCTGTTTGCACAACAAATGTGTGGCTCTTTCATTTACATTTCCAATAAAAGAGCACTATACTCTACTTTTTAATTCATTAATTGGCTTTGCGTATAACATGCGATTAATCGCGATTAAAAAATTTGTATTTTTGCCCAGCCCTAGTAGTAATACAGTAAGTGCTCCAATATGTTTTTAAACGCAATAAACCTTCACTAGAATCAACTGGATAATTACAGTCCTGATATTTCCAATCTCTACTGAACAAAAGGTAAAAGGAGCTGTTAACTTGAAAACTACCAACACATGACCTCACAAGGTGGAACAGACCAGTTTAAGCTTTGAATATGTAGACAAATGAATAATTTAGGATTACTCAAGAGTGTGTGAATGAAACGTCAATAGGACCTTTAAACTGGAAACAAAATAAGAAAAAAATGTCATCTGAACAGAATGAGTCAGGTGCGGAAGGATGAACAGTACTACATCAAAATTACCTCGTGCAGTACTGAGATGGGGCCGTGGGGGCAGATGGGGCAGTTGGGCGGATGGGTTTGGCCTCATGTTTAATGCATGGATCACAGTGTGCTCTTGGGGGCCAGCTGGGGTCCCGACTGGAGAGGGGCCCCACTGACCCCAGATCACATCACACCATTGTCTGTTTTACACGCAGGGGGATAACTGCAACTGTCCGTCATTGTGCGTGTACATCTTACATGGACTAGACTAGACAATTCATTTCCATTCATTGTAATCCGTATTTTTATAGGGTTTAAACCAGTGTTTCTCAACCAGTGGTAAAAAGAATGGAATAGTTTCTGATTTTAAGGTGAAATTATATGTTAAATTGTATGTAGTATTTGAATATCATTGTTTACTCTTTGATGTAAAAATTTTAAATCTTCAAAAAAAGGTCCTATATTACACAAAACAGACTCTTGTAAACTTTAAGACATGTTACAATGTTGTTACCTCATCAAAAACATACCTCGAGTTGTGTTTTGATTCATTTACACACGTTTGAGTTGTTTATTATTATTAGTCCTACATCTCCAAAGCTCAAAATGCTCTTTTCCACTTTATGATGTCATGATAGTTAACAGCTCCTTTTACCTTTAGTTCAGTAGAGATTGGCAATTCCTGAGCTGAAATTGAACAAATGAATCAAGTGAAGGTGTATGGAGTTTAAAAACAAAGTGAAGCACTTCCACCACATGACATCACAAGGTGTAAATGGATATTTTCTGTTTGAGAGAAGAACTCTGCAGGGTGTGTGTGTTAAACAAAAACACAAAACAAAACAAAAAGGTCTGTTTGTGATGAGGAAACAACATTATAACAGATCAGAAAATAGCGTAATAATAAAGAATAAACATGTCAATTTATGTATAGTTGGTAGTTGTGAGTTCAGTATAAAAGACACATTGGACCTATAACTTGAAATGTTCCACAGTATATCATTAAACTATCCATTTCCATGTTTACAAATGGGCCCGGTCAAGCAGAAGTAAACAGCAAGGCCAAAAATTCAAGTTAATGCATCTGATATAAAAATGTATTGAACAGATACATATGTACTCTAGTTTATCAAACTGTTGACCTTTTTTCTGTACCATTTTTGGTTCTGTAGTTACATACGTTTTAAACAGACCATGAATGAAACATGGAACAAAAATTATTTCCCAAATTTCAAAGACCTGCAAATCATGTAAATAAATGGATG